GTATAGAGTATCTTTTGCCTGCACAAAAATAGAGGGGGTAGTTACCACCAGGGCTGCACAGAGAGCTAAAGGGAAGGAGGGAGTAGAGGAAACTCTCTATAGATCTGATTAATCTATATCATCCTTGGCACTGGCTGTTAAGGTTCCAGAGAAAATGCATATATTGTCCTGAAATGAAACCTCTTTCTGGTGTACAAATAGATTAGTAGAGTGATAATATGAAGCAAAAGTATGTCGAGGTTTATCTTCCATTTAGCCCAGTGCATTGGTTGAACCAACAAACCTTGGAAAAATCAGGAATGCAGTTACAAAGACAGGCTTTCTGTCTGGCTGGAGTGCACATAATCCTTAACTGAATCTGGAACATCAATAGCTGACATCTGAAGCTGTTGARAGAAATTTGCTGGGCATGCTGACAGTCCTGCCTTGAAATACATTTTATGATTTTTAGATATTGAATCTTTTGTTTCGTTATGCAATATATATTAAAGAGCAGAAATAAAATTTGTTACAATGGCATAGCATGCATATGCCAACATCTGTTTTATCATAAAAAGTATATATAAAATGCTATTGGAAATGACTTTGATTTCCAAGTGAGTTTGAATATTTAACTACTAAAATGCATTTGAAATGTGTTTTGTCATCAGTTTAGGGTCTAAGTTTGAACAAAACCTAGATTCATTTAATGATGCTGAAAACTGTGTAGTCGAATTTTGATGAAAATATAAGAAATTTCTCAGTGTAAAATGTGCACCAATTTGTGTAAAAATATCACTGGTCTTTTTCTTTCTTTTTTTTCTTCTTTTTCTTATGTTTTTGACCTCATCCACTGGAGAGAAAGAAAAATGGGGGGGTGGAAATATGCACTTTCTGGGTTTAAAGCACACATGGAATATGATAGGATCAGACATGTTAGGACTCAGGTTCCGGGAAGGCTTTTCTAGTAACTAAGAGGCCCTTTGAAGTTCTTAAAATGAGATTCCAAAGGCAACAGAGCGTGGAAAGTCTAAAGCATCATCCAGTTGTAGTTGTAAATCCTCCTGGATAGAGTCAAAATAAACTCTGGTTTTGGCCTTTTTTTTTTTTTTTTTTTTTTTCTGTACAAATTTAAGTAAATCTGGTAAAATTCTTAAGACTGAAATGAAAGTAAATGTAAGCAGTAATAGAGAGACTTGCTTTTCATCAGTGATAGGGAGTTAACAAATTGCCACGTTATTGCCATCATCTGGTCAGTCACTCTYACTTATTAATCCTGAATTCTGGGAGTCTAGTTTGTATGCCCCTTTGGATTATTTTAAATGAACTGGGTAGAAATTTTATTTTTGAATTAAAGAAACAAATAATTATGTTTGGGCAAAGTATAATAAAGAAAAAAATAATTAATAATGAAAAACTGTGCTGGATGATCTTGTTTCTCTGGCTGTTTTCTGATGCTTACTTTAGTTTTTCATTATGTGGCTGTGAGTTTTCACTCTGCATTTTTATTCTCAGCCTGAAAAGCAGAGCCGTTTGTCAGGTGCAAAGTGGTTTCTTCTGCCTAGTGGAAATCACTATCCTCTGATTTGCTTATTTTACTCTTATCTGCTTCATGTCCACAAGAAGGATCTACTGCTTACTGAAGTATGGACAGAATAAATGATCTTTGAGTACCTAATAAGGTCATCACTATATTAGATAGGATTCAGCMGTTTCCTTGCATTGGCATGGTACGCAGATACTACTTGGAGTAAGCAGTTAAATGCATTTTGAAACCAATGAATGATAAATAGATAGACAGATAGATAGATAAATTACGGCCAGTGAGTGATAAAGATGTGGTACTTCATTTTGTCATAGAATTTCAATCCACTTATATTTAATGTGGGGGTTTTGCATCAGTATCTTAGTGACAGTGTTACAGCTTCCTGTTTCACCTGTTGCTTTTATAGGATGTGTATAAATTTTTTTTTTTTAATTTTGTAACTTACTACGGGGCTTAAACTGCAGCAAACTACTGCAGAGATCTTGCTTCCTGATGTCTTTATATTTTTACTTTTGCAATCTTGACTGATCAGAAGAGATCCATGTGTTTTGGTACTTTCCAATGATACCGTTGAATAGTAATTCTACACACATTTCAAATTGTGAAGCTGATTGCTCTACACAGTGCTTGTGCTCATGAGCTGAAAACAAGTTACTGATTTTGCAAGACTGTCAAGGCAACTTCTTAAGATTAATTTAACTTAAAGTAGTTAAAAAGCTGGATTTTTTTCTTGATTTCATTAGAACATGTTGATGATTCAAAAGTCAARGAGATTCCTTTTCTTATACCTGTAACTTAAAGTATATTTTACTTTTTTTTTATAGAAATATCTCCAGTTAATATAGGAGTAGAAGTTGAATTTTCATCTGTGAAGGATAGAGAGTTTGTTAGCTATTTTTGTATTGTTAGGATATTACATAAATGGACAATTAAAGTATGAAGATACTTCTCAGAGCAACATTTTTCACAGCTGTTGATTAATTTGGCTACATCTGTTCTGGGATTTCATCTCAAGAAACAGATTTTATTTATTTAACAGATCTTATTAATTTAATGATTTCAGAACTAGAAGTCACAGAACAGGGACATTTTAACTTAACTGTTAATCCATCTTGGCAATGCATATAGTATAAATGATACTTTTCAGAGACCCTGGATTTAAGTTGTCTCTTGAGTCTTCTGGTTAAAAAAATGTTTGGAGAAAGCTTATTAGTGCCATCTTTTTTTTTTCCCTCTATGTCATATTCTTGAAAAGTGTTTTGGTATAGGGCCATAAACACATCTTCAAGGAGGCTTTTTGCATCCTCAGTTGGGTAGAGAATGTGATTTTTAAAAAATCTTACTATATTAAATATTTCTTTTCAGAAACTGTTATCAGCATTCAGACCTTGTCGGTCATCTTCATCTATATTTCCCTATTCTACTTATATGACAAAAATATTTGCAGAATTATTTCCTAGTGTRCAATAGATAAATTATAATGAGAGACTTTAATATCATGGGATACTCCCCATGTATTTTACATAAATGCAGTAGAGAGATCTTAGCACATCCTAGTGCATCTCATTTACAAGATAAACCATTCAAGCTTTGATTCTTTTCCTCCTGATACCTATTATATTTACCAAAAAGGAGAGTAAAGTTTGGGGGGGGTTCTTCAGTATACAGGTTTAATGAATCAAGATAATAGTCCTGTAACTTGAGGTAGTTTATTGCCATCAGTAAATCTTCATAAAATGTTCAGCAAACTCCACAAGGAAATAGATTGCCTTTAGCACAAGATGACCTGATATCCTCTAATGGTTTCATTACAGAACATTTCTGGGTATCATTAGTGTGCTTTAGCAACATGGAATCCTGCAGAGAACTGAGTCTTTGCTTGAATTTGAAATAATGCTAAATTGCTAACCAAGTCCTTAGTTAAGCAGTCTTGGACCACCAAAAGAAAATTTATATAATTATTTAACTTTACATGTTGTAATAATCTCATTAAAATGTTTCTTTGTAAATAATAACAGAAGAATGGATAAAATGCATTTCTATGCCAAAAAAAAAAAAAAAAAAAAGGCTATTTCAACAGTAGCAGTTAGTTTATTCAATTCTGTGGGAGCAACATTTCACTTCTAAACTTGCCCTGTAAGTCTTTCTCCTAGCAGGGTCTTCCTGAAGCTCAATGAGACTCCTGCATGTGGACCAGATAGCTTTTTTGGCCTCCGGCCATGTGATACCTTTGAGAGTATTAGGGCTTTACAGAATATGATGTAGGAAGAAAGCAGACATACAGAAACAAATTTTAAAAGAAACAGTAACATTAGTCAATGAAATTTTAGCCATGCAAGATACTTAATACAGTTGTGAAGTAGAGCAATAAATTCTGAAGCCCACTAGGTAGGTGCTTAGCACTGAAAAGTGCTGTTTTTGTAGCAAATAAGCAGTAATCTTCATTGGAAAGCTGAAACACGTTAACAGCTCTTGAAGTTTGTGGGGTTTTTTCTGTTATATAAAGCATAATAATATGTGCAGCATATATTAAAAATGCATTTAATTGCATTGGACAGATATTTGTTCTTTCAATTGACTMTAAATACTAGACCAGAATGTGTCTAGCCCTTTCTCTTTCTCATATTTGTTTTGAATTATAATCCTGTACTTTTTTTCTGTTTTCTTTTTTTAAAAAATAATACAGCCTTTAAAAGGAGATGTGAAATTTCTCCAAACTGACAACATAATTGTGACAACATAGAAGCCAAATTGGCAAAAACAATGAATGTAGAAATGATGTCTTCAAGTAGTTAAAAATAAAAGTAATATAGTTATGTATTTGAAAAACATTCCAGAACAACGTTTTTTTGCCAGTGCAAAAATTGCAGAACTTTGCAAAATTTTATATATCCATTCTCTCTACATGAGTCATCTTTTTGGAAGAAAGAGGAGAGAATATTTTTTCATCATCATGATCATTGCAATAATGAGCTGCAGAAACTATAATAGATTTTGTTCCTGGCTTGGCAAAATATCTAAAAGATTTTGCAAGACAGTTTACATAATTCTTTCCATTCAACTTTCTAGTATTGCATATGTTTCAATTGTTAACTTAAACATACCAAACTTGTAGGTAGTTTGTGGAATATATAAATGTGGTTTATTGTTTCTTAAGTATTTTATGAGCAGAATTTGTGGTTATGCATTTTCATACTTACAACCTTAATTCACTTTTAAAATAGCCTCTCTGTTTGCTAATAGTTAACAGCTGTAACTAATACATTAGCAGATCTACAATGTAGTATTTAAAATGACGCATTTCAAAATCAATAACAAATGTCCTGCTGTAGGATTAATTGGAAAACTTGCCTTATACAATGGTCAGTACTCTATACAAAATTATTTTCAAATTACTCTAAGTCAAGGAATAGGAGACAATGCTGCATGACTTTCTAAAAACTTAGAAATAGCAAAAGCAAAATGTATTACTTACTGTAGTTGTTGTTTGCTTCTCTTGTCCCTTTTACTTTGCCTCGCTTATCAATCCTCATATACCACTGAGTTCGACAGAAAAGTCTTCTCACTCTTACATCCCCCCCTTCCATATAATCATAGCTTCTAGTATGTCGCTCAGGGCTGGAACAGTTCACATTTGTAGCCATTTGCTCTGGAGTCATGTCATTGCAAGCTAAAGATATAGTGCCCATTAGAAAGATAATGTAAAAGTATGATCTGTAGAGCAAAATTGGCAGGATCCATGTCAGTATCCATTTGTGCATTATAGTGCAGTGTTCTGGGTGTTCATGAACAACATAATGAAAATTAAATCTCAAGTAGACGGTTGCTCTTAGGTCACCGACCTGCCTTCTGTCTTTATGAGTTACAGATTGATTTAAATGAGACTGTTCCCTCTTCTAGAATTCTGATCCTTATTCCTTAATAGTTAATGGCGAAATGGAAGAGCTTCGTAAGTATCTTTTTCAGTCAAAATATCCTTTAAAGACACAAGTTATAAACACCTTTGTTGCTGTGACCTTCTGTGCTACTTGAATTTGCTGCTTGCACTGAAAGTAAAAGATCTGTGAGGAAAAGTTGCATATATAAGTCTTTATGAGCAGTTGTTACAAATGTGCAAGAATAAATTATTCTACTGAAATGTTCTATGCATAAATCCATAACATGCTATGCTCATTTTTAAAAATAGGCAAATGTATATACAACAAATATCTTTATATAGCCTTTTGCATAAACAGTCATTTAAACTGATTGTAAACATACTTCTGTCTTCAGCTCAGTTACAAGTCCTTCCAAAAAAGCCCTCAGCTAATTCAGTTGAACTGTTTTCATGCACTGAAAAATACTGCTGCTTGCTTCATGCCTCTGCCTTCGCTATTTGCACCATTCTATCAGAGAACATTTCCRTAGTCCAGATTTCAAGACAGACTACATAGTCGTGTCCTTTCCTCTTTATGCCTACATTTTTCAGTATATTCATAGAAAAATTACTCAACACATTTTAAGCATCTAACATATAGAAAACAAGATAAAAGCTATTAGTAACTGCTGAATATGTTTGGAAAGGACAGATAACTTACTTGTTTCGGTTGATAACAGCTGGATAGGCAAGTATTCCATTTCGGTTGTCTGCGTTTTGCAACATGAGACCCTACTGTAGCGACAAACTTTCTCAGCTCAGAAAGACTCCACCAGAATTGTAATTGTTTCCATAAATCAAGSCGCTCGAGAGGAGGTGTGTATGTGCTTATGCGTGCGCGTGCATGTGTGTGTTGCGCCTGTTGTTCAGTCCTTTTTGATAAATACCTTTGCTGACCTCACTTGGAAGCAATTAGAATTTAACCAGTCAGCTGTCAGTTGAATCCAAGAGCAAAAATAAAAGGAGACTTGTGTTGTATAGTGTCCAATGGTCATCAGAGGGAGCTGTGTACATAGTTTATACTTTAAATCTCCAAGAATCTAGTTTGTAAAAACATATATTCTATGGTGTGCAGATAGAATTGCTTCATGTGCAAGTTAGCATTTCGGTTCTTTGGTTTAAATCAGTATTTGTCTCTTAAAAATTCTTTGTCTCTCACACACACTTATCTGGGTTTTCTTTCAAATCTTTTTTTTTTTTTTTTTTGCAATTTGATAAATTCATGCTCTGCTTACTGCATTTCTGATGGAGAAATGAAACATGTGGGTCCATTATGTACTGTGGAGAGGGCGTGCTGTGGTCTTTATAGACTGTGCAGGGTATTTGTGTTTCGTAGACTTGTAAAAGAGGAACAATTGCACAGAAAATCACTGAGATTTTTATTAGATCAGCCACTAGGGGAAAATGAGAATGTGTATTTGGATATTGCAGAGTCTGACTTCCAAGCACAACTTTTATCAGCATGAAGGAAAAGAAGAACTACTAGGGAACGGTCTTCCTTAGCGTTTGTAGTTATTAAGAAACTCGCAGTGTAAGAATGAAAAGTTGCAGCAAGTAAAACCTGTGCGCTGKACAGTGACTCGTGGGTGACCAGCAGGCTTAAATTGTAGAGGTTCAAAGTAATGGCTAAATACTGAGTTTTTTGCTACTCTATGCTGATTTTCAGCTGTGGCATCAGTCTGCAATCCAAAGTCTATGTTCCATTTGAGAATTAAAAGATGTGTCTGCAGAACTTGGAAACTCTGTTTTTCTCCAAGGAGGATTGAGAACCTGCCGTTGTTCATAGCAGGTATTGCAGTGTAGTTTGTCCTTCTCTGATTTTTTTTTTCTCTCTCCCCTACTCCTCACTCCTGTAGAAATGGGAAGGATTGCTTTTAAAAACTTGATTGAAACAAACTGTAGAGGTAGTTTAAAATCATAGGGAGTACGGATGTGCCACCTTGTGGTAAGGGGGACATAGTAAATTAGGATTTTTCACTGAAATGTTCCAGAATGAGCATCAAAGGTATATGACGCCAGAGGACCTCATGTTATTCAGTCTTTCCTGTACACAAGCAGCCAGAGTGAGTAAGGAAATCTTCCTTGAAGTCCTCAACTTCTTCCTCAGAGGCCTCTTGGATTAACCCCATTTGTCACTCACTTTTTCATCTTTTTTTGAGCAATTTTCCCTCAAAGTCCAAATCAACTTTTCTTCTCGCTGTCTCCAGTTCAGCCTGTTGGCCTGTTTCCCATGTTTGTGACTCGACTAACATTTCCTAATTCAGCAAAGCCCTTGCTCCATGCACCTCTCAGGATACGGAGCAAGCGGCACTGGGTGCCTTTCCCATGTTGGATGTTCCAGAGCCGTAAGGTGGTGGCTGTCATGAAGACTGAGCCCCATAGGCTGTGGTCACTGCTGTTCCCAACCAAGCTTGTACCTTGTCAGCCTATGCCCTTGGTTCTGGCCAGAAGTGGGAATGAAAGGGCTGGGTGCAGCTGGACTTTTGCCGGCGCATTTCTTGTGTTTGTATCAGTATGTTCTCAGACCCATCCTGCAGCCTGAATTCAGAATGACAGCAATGAAAAAAATCCGTGGCATTCAGAAGGCTTATCTAGTGTGTATTATAAAGAAAGCAATCAGGGATAAAATGTAATCTCTATTTTACTTCTGAAAGCGGGGTGCAAGCAATTTTTTTCTTTTTTTGGTAAATATTCTGGGTCTTTTATGAGCAGTGACAACTTTCACTTTCAGATCTGTTCTCCACTTTCTAGTTTTTTCTTTCTAACTGACTGTTTCTTTTTCTGACTGTTAGTAAGAAGGTTGGGGGAAATACATACCTGAAGTTTCCATTTCAGAAAGCCGGAGCTACTCGTTTCCAGGCATAGGCATGTATTTCCCTTGGCTCTGCAGAATAAATCACTTGCTGTAAGTATGTTTTGAAGTGGTGCTTCAGCTCAGATCAGTTTAAATAAGGCACTAGCTGTAAGTTTAGTCAGTGAACAATGCAGTTAATCTTTAATTACTGATAACTTTCATGTCCTCTCATTGTCTAATTATAGAACTTTTTCCAAAATGTTTTTACTGTATTAATATTGAATTGCACAATTTCATGTCTTACAAGTACAAATTCATATTTTTAAATGAAAAAATGCCATCTTGATCTGCATATGCAAATGAGTATTTCTCTCATATATGTCAGGTCTCTTTAAATGATTCAGCTCACTTCTGTTCAAGATGAGCATAACTAACTCCTCTCAGTTTGGCCTGTTCTAGTTTTATGGAAGATCATGCTATTGACTTGAGCTGTATTTCTTTCTCTTTGCAAACATCTATGCCAAGAACTTTGCAAATCAAATCCCAAGCAGTTCTTTAACAAAATAGACTAGAAAAATKGTGTTTCTTTGTCAAGTTATATTTGAAAAAAATGTGTTAAGACAYCCTGACCACGTGAAACAAGAAAATGTAGAGAAATGTATAACATCCTCACAGTTTAAGCTATTCTTTAATATTTAACTAAACCTGTTCTCTGTGCAGTTCTCCTTGTTTTGATTCCTGCCTGCTAATTCATAGGCACAGCACTGGTGCAGTGCATTTTCTGGAAAGATGGAAAACAAGGATTGTGCCCAGGCCCCCAATTCAAATAGAAACAGCCTAATAAACTTTTATCTCCATTCATTTAGGAAGCTACTTTTCCCTCCTGTTAGAGGCAAGCATGTTTTTTTTTCCCAGCAATTTTAAAAACAAATCCATTTATATTGTTTTTCTCCATTGTTCATCCAGAATATGACAAGGCGATTTAAATCTATGGGAAAACTGGAAWGAGATGCAGGAAGATATTAAGAAAAGTATTATCAAATAATTGACACATACATAACAGGGTTTTTTTGTTAATTAACTCCAGCAAATTATTTCTATATAACTCATTTTAGGAAACATAAATTCTAGGAATACCTTACTTGAATCAATAATAAGCATAAAAAGCAAAGGCATTCCCTAGGAGGAATGCTGTAATACTGACTTTTGAAGGAGCTAGATGGAATAAAGCAGAATGGGATTCTAAAGATAAACCTTTGGGGAGGGAGATGAATCCCTTCTTTCTCAATGTATTTACATAGGATGTGGTTGTGACAGGCCTCCTTGCTCTTGCTAGCTGAAAATCCAGTCCATGCCTTCCCTCACCTTCAGGGAATCCTTCCACTTGTGGTAACACCAGGACACTCGCAGTGCAATTAAGAACTATGTTACCAGAACTGAAAAAGTATTGAAGACAAAAGTTTGGTTTACCTTATGACAGGTRTGAACCTGGGGAAGCCTCTGTTGGTTACGTGACAGGCACATTTGCATTCAGGTTTTACCAGTATACTTACAATGTTGTGATTTCTTCTGCCTGTTTTTAAATATATTTATTCCTTTTTTTTTTTTAAGATGTGCAGTATCTTTTTATAGACACAGCTGATTAAGCAGCTGATTAAGTAAGTTAACTTTAAGRCTTAGATTCCTAGAACTTGGCTGAAAGATCTTTTTATAGTATTGCCAAAAATATTATTTCCATGAGTTTACCTATTATTATTAATTCTTACATCAGTAGTAACAAATACAAAATCACCTTCAATCTCTGCTTTTATGTAAGTGTAGCTATTGACAGATTGAATATCACATGTAGTCCAGGAATGGGATGTACGAATGGTTTGTCTTTTGTTTCAAGTTTCCAACCACTAGAATTTTTAACCGTTCACATGAGTCTGCATAAAGCATAATTATTACTGTAACTTAATGATTTAAGCATTGCAAGACTCGTAAGACCTCTTAGTATGGTAACATTATAACACACATAACAATATACCCGTTATTAGCTGTCTGTCTGATAGTCGTTTAATCTTAGAAAACAATTTTAGTTCCTTTAATTAGAGCCTCATGATAGATCTAGTAGGTACCACYCCTATTGAACTTCTTTTGCTTCTGTGATGGGATTTTAAAAGCCTCATCATACACACAGATACACTCTACTTTAAAACATTATTAATGCTTTAAAATGCTCAGAGCCCACAAAATACTGATTTTTTTTTTYCCCCTCATTAAATGAGGCATGGCATTTGTGAAGAAAAGAATGATGCTAAAACTTGAACTCTATATTGTGGTACATACACAGAAAGGCAGCTAAGTCAGTGTAATCAAAGAAAAACCCTCTCCTCTCCTGACTTATGAATATTTAGCTTTGTAACCTTAAAGTTCTTTTAAAATGTATGTGCAATGTATTTTTTTTTTTTTTTATTTAAAGCAGAATGATTTATGAGTCAGGTTTCTGTCATATTGCGGTACAAAGTTAAACATCTGGCCCTCAATTACAGGAACGTATGCAGTGTAGGTAGTGTGGGGTTTCCTGGGTTTTGTTGCTAGTCTTTGCTTCAGGAAATTATCCATTTACACTTGTGCAAGCAGACTTTCCTCCAAGCTTGAAATACTTAGTTTTATTGTGTGGGTCCTGAAAGGAGACTGTAAAGTGCTAATGATATGAGTGCAGCTCCACCGAACTGAGCACTGGGTTAAAACAAACAAGCAGGTCACCATCAGTCTTGAGATATCTGTCCARTGTAGGTATGAACCAATGGAACACTTTTTCTATTGCCTGATAATAAAAGAAAAGAAAGTTTCAAAATACTTCTGCATTCAAAGTAGCAGAGCAAATTCAGCATCTGTTAAAAGTACAGAATTTCATCAAGGGAGCAGAAGCAGGGTGGGACGCTTCATTGATTTCAAACTGACTAAAATATAAAGGTCCTTGGCCT